AGCGCAAGCAGGGGAGGGGCAGAGAGAGAGGGAGACCCAGAATCAGAAGCAGGCTCTAGGCTCTGAGCTGTCAGCACAGAGCCCGATGCAGGGCTCGAACTCACGAACTGTGAGATCGTGACCTGAGCCGAAGTTGGACGCTTAACTGACTGAGCCACTCAGGCGCCCTTAGAATGCTTTTTAATGGTTTCAGAGGTTTAAAAAAAACAAAAACAAAAGAGCCCTCCAAATTAGTGTTATTGATAAGAAAATCTGACAAAGATTAAGACGGAAACAATCTTCAGCCCAGTTTTATTTATGGTTATGGATGCAGAAGTCCTAAATAAAATACTTACCATTGATACCCACCAGTATCTTAGAAAAAGAGCCATGATCAAGCGGGATTACGTTATTCCAGTAATGTAGTGATTGGTTCCGTATTTTTATATTAAGGAGAAAAAGATTCTCTTCATGGGTGAGGAAAAGCAATTGAGAAAAAAGCTGTTCTGGTATTCAGTAAAATAGGAGAGTGTGTGTGTGTGTGTATGGAGAGAGAGACACACACACACACAGTAAAATAGGTGTGTGTGTGTGTGTGTATGGAGAGAGAGAGAGACACACACACACTCTTGTTTATATCTGCACGGAACTCAGCATCATGGTTAATGGAGAAACAATGTAAACATTCCTTCTAAAAGCAAGGACAAAATGAGCACCGTCCACCCTATTATTTAATACTATTTTGGCAGTACGAACCAGCACAATTAGACAATAGAATAAAATTAGAAAGATAAACACTGGAGGAGGTAAAATTTTCACTACTTTAGACTTTATGATCGTACAACTTGAAAACCCAAGAGAATCAGCCCCCAAACTCAGCAAACAATAGAAGAATCTTTACTGAAGACAATTGATCGTAAAGATTTGTAGAAATCAGTAGCTTTCATATAAATAATCATATAGGAAATATAATGGAGGAAAGACCCTACTTACAATAGCAGCAGAAAAGATAAACTTTTCAGAATGTATTCAGATGTAAGATAAACTTACATCAGAATAAGTTTGTTGTGTATGAGACCAGTATGTACAAAACACTGTTGAAGGGGACAAAAGGGGACTGGAATTTGAAAGATGTGTCATGTTTTTGGGTAAGGTGATGCACAAAGAAATCAGTTCTTAAGCATTCAACATAATTTGATTTAAAATAAATACATAGATTTTCATTTACGACTAGATGAGTTGATCCTAATGCTCATCTAGAAAAACTGTCCAACTATTAGCCAGGAAAAAATAAAAATAGTAATGGAAAGTAATTCTACCAGACACTGAAATATGTATTATTGTGTCTAATTAAAACATAGTGGTCCTGGTACATGATTAGACCAAAGGCAAAATAGAAATAAATTCAAATACATTGTGAATTTAATGTAAAAAAGATCCTAAGCCAATCAGAAGAAGTTAGCCGCCTAGCCATTTAGAAAACAAAAGTTATTTTTATACCAGAATAAATTTCAAGTGGATCAAACTTGAAATGTGTAAAAGGAAATGTAAAGTTTACATTTCATGTAATATGAGAGAATATGAGAGAATTCCTTTATAGAGCTGAAAAGGGAAGAGTATTTCTTATTCTGACTTAAATCTAGAAGCCATTTTAAAAAAAGGATAAGTGCATCATAACATAAAGCAGAGTTATTATGTAATAAGTTGGGGGGAAAATATTTGAAACCTCACAAAGGCAAAAAGCAAATTTATTAATTTATCAAGAGGGGCGCCTGAGTGGCTCAGTTGGTTAAGTGGCCCACTTTGGTTCAGGGCCTGAGCTCAGGGTTCATGAGTTCAAGCCCCGCATCAGGCTGTGCGCTGACAGCTCGGAGCCTGGAGCCTGCTTCGGATTCTGTGTCTCCCTCTCTCCCTCTCTGCCCCCCCCCCCCCCCCGCTCTTTCTCTCTCAAAAAGAAATAAACATTAAAAAAATTAATTTATGAAGAACTCCTCGATATTACTGAGGAGGAGAAAAACCCACTAGGAAAAGTTGGCAAAGGCTGTAAACAGAGATTTTGCATATGAGGAAATGTAAGTGGTTGGTTCTTAAGCGTATGAAAAAATACCTTTCTGGGGTGCCTTGCCGGCTCGGTGGGTAAAGCACGTAGCTCTTGATCTTGAGGTCGTGAGTTTGAGCCCCTCGTTGTGCCTATAGCTTACGTAAGAAAACAGAAAACAACAAAAACCTGCCCTCATTCAGTATAATGTAAGTACAAATTACAACTACTCCAGAATGACATTTCTCAGAAGGGCAAAAATCTGGAAGTTTGAGAACATGCCTTGTTGGCGTATGTAGGGGAACAGGTCTCATCCACGGCTATGAATGTGTGTGGGTGCATCCTTGTGTGGGGGCGGTTCTGCTCTGAAGGTCTGGATGACGAATCCGTACATCCTTAATCCAGCTAGTCTGGTTTTGAGAATTTATTCTGAGTATGTGTTAGCATATGCTAGAAACGACACGTTTATAAACTAAGTCATTTCTGAGTTGCTGGTAGCAGTAAAAGAATAGAAACAAATCAGACGTCCAGGACTGGTGAAATAAATAAAGTTACATCTGTGCAGGTTTTTTTGTTTTTTTTTTTTAGATAAAAGATCAGCTATTTGAAAAAAAAGAGGTTTTCTATTTTTTGATATGGAGAGACCTTGAAGATAAATACAGTAAAGAAAAAAGATACAGAACAGTGTGAAGTACGCTTTTTTGTATAAAAAGGGAGAAAATAAAATCTACATGCGAGTTGGTTTGTTTATGTGTCAGGAAGCTCTGGAAGGTTCATGACCCAGAGTAGTGTGCCTCTGGGGTGTGAGGGGTAGGGAGGGAGCCTGCAGACGGGGGCCTTCGACTCCCTTTTTATTGTGAGTCAAGTGAACAGCACAGTACCTGTTCAGAAAATTATATGAAAGTAATCTTAATAATTAATGGGACTTCATATGTTTTTATAGCCACATTCAAGTAGTCTGATTTTTATTTTTCAGACTGTACAGCTAAATTATCAGATTCATTCCTCACTGCCTCTTTTTTTTTTTTTTTTTTTTTTTTTTTTTTTTTTTTTTAAAACTGCAGAACCCTTTGCTCAAGCTTAGTGTTACAGAGAAGCCCAGTTTGTAAAACAGATAACAATGGATCCGGCTCAGATGTGAGCAGGGTGGGGGGCTTGGAACAGGACCTCTTTGCCCCTCTTTTCTTCCCTTCATCCAAGCAGCAGCCATTGAGGTGACTGTGTAGAACCCTTAAAATCTGTAGTTCAGGACCCAGAAAGAGCCAAACAAAGGTTTCTAAGTTTAAGTTGGCAAACTGCAGCACCCAGGTTGAGTCTGCTGCTTATCTTTCTAAGTTGTGTATTGTCTGTGTCTGACTTTGCACTAACAACAGAGTATTACTAATTATTTGTGACAGAGACCCTGTGTCCTGCAAAGCCTAGAATATTTACTCTTTGGCTCTTTACACAAAAAATTTTGCCAACCCCTGCTTGAAATAATTTTTTGTCCATGATAATTTACTTTCTAGTTGCACTCTCAGTTTCTCCACTTAAACCTTCAGTGTAAAATGGGCTAACATCACTATTTTTAGAATTGTGTAGTATAATAGAAGTTCATGGCTTAGGAAGAAATTTGGGGATATTCTCATTTTCAAATATTTCCTATTTCAAATCTCTAGGTTGAGAATTAGGTTTGTGGGGTGCCTGGGTGGCTCAGTCAGTTAAGTGTCTAACTCTTGATCTTGGCTCAGGTCATGATTTCATGGTTTGTGGAATTGCACCCCACGTCAGGCTCTGTGCTGACAACGTGGAGCCTACTTGGGATTCCCTCTCTCTTTCTCTCTCTCTCTCTCTCTCTCTCTCTCTGTCCCTCTCCCCTTGTCTCTCTCTCTCTCTCTCTCTCTTTCAAAATAAATACATAAACTTAAAAGAGAAAATTAGGATTGTTACTATTTGCATGTATATTTCTATATTTGTACTATAAACAGAATAGTCATCAACTTGTCACGTGGTTTTATCTCAGTGATTAAAAAGTAAATGAAGAATGGAAAAGTAGACCAAATAGATATAACATTAGCTTTTAAAAATCCAAGGGTTTATTTTGTTAAAATCACTCTTAATACTGAGGGCCTAAATTCCTTGAAACATGTTTATTGACTATAAAATAAAAACATAAGAAAAGTCCACGTAATTCTTACTGAATTTTACAAACTGAAAATTCCACGTATCGAGCACTTAGGTCAGTTCACAGAACATTCTCAGCACCCCAGAAGCATCGTCCCTGTGTCTCCCCAGTCATTACCTTGCCAAGGTGACCACCGTCCTTTCTGTGCGAGGATTGACGGGCTTCTCCTGTTTCGTGCTGGACTCAGTGGGATCGCATGTGCTGTTCTGTGACTGGTCACAGTTCGCACTGTCAGACTCATCCATACGGTTGTGTGTGGTTATAGGTCTTTAATTTTCATATTTGTGCAGCTTTCAGTGTGTGAATATGCTGGAAGCTGTGTGTATAGTCCGCTGTTGTCGAGTATTTGAGTAGCGTGTGGTTTTGGCCACTGTGTTAGGAACAGTGAGCGTGAGCGTTCGAAAACCTGACTCTCCGGTTTTGCTGGAAGCAAAGAATGGAAACAAACCAGATGTGCAAGGCTGGTGACATAAAGCGAGCTTCGTCTCTATGGCAAAAGTAGTGTCAGCCACGCACAACTTATGGTTTCTTTTTTTTTTTTTTTTAATGTTTATTTATTTTTGAGATGGAGACAGAGCATGAACGGGGGAGGAGCAGAGAGAGAGGGAGACCCAGAATCCGAAACAGGCTCCAGGCTCTGAGCCGTCAGCATAGAGCCCGACGCGGGGCCCGAACTCACGCGAGATCACGCGAGATCACACGAGATCACGCAAGATCATGACCTGAGCCGAAGTCGGCCGCTTAACCGACTGAGCCACCCAGGCGCCCCTACAACTTACAGTTTCTAGCAGCCATGTTTTAAAAAGTAAACATGAAGTTAATTTCAAAAATATATTTTACTTCCCCTAGTGTATCCAAAGTGTTACAATTTAAACATATAATCATGCAAATCATGTATGGGATGTTTTACTTTTTGTCCACACTGAGTCTTAGCGATTTGGTGTGTAGTTTCCACTCCCAGCCCTTCTCAGTTCATACTAGGCACATTTCGGGTGTTCGATGGCCACCTGGGCAGCTCTAGATCATGCTTTTGGGGAGCAGATGTGTGCGGTGCTGCTGGGGGTATATCTGAGAGTGGCATTGCTGGGTCGGAAGGTGTGTGTGTATCGAGCTTTAGTTGACGTTGATAGTTTTCCAAAGTGGTTGTACTTATTTGTATTCCACTAGCAATGTCTGAGAGTTTGCCACCAGCTACTCTGGTGGGTATCTAGTTATTTCATTGTGGTTTTAATTTTCATTTTCCTGATGACTAGTGTGTCCTCTCATAAGTGTGCAGAAAGAATAAATATTTTACTGTGATCTCTGCCTTTACACTAGTGATTTGAAACTGATGTTAGTAATGGTAGTTGTTGGCATTGAAACACGTGGGATTTTAGTTCATGTATCCTTGCTTTGTTATGTTATTAGTCTCATGATTTAATAGCTTTGAATTATACAATTAGTGAGTAGCTAGGACATTCTTATTTGTCTTGTGACCATCTCTGGCGTTTGTCAAAGGAAAATAAAAGTATTATGTTAAGGCTTTATAATTACATACGTTAGATACTATATTTGTGGTATACTCCAATATCTAACTGTAACTACATAAATAAGAAAACAAAATATTAAATATTAAGTATATTTAGTACATATATGAGCTACATAACAAAATGTTTCAAAAATTTCAAAATTTTAATATTGATGAAAATCTTCTAGTTTGTGTTGTAACATTTATTAAGCTTACAAACATTAAGAAGTATTTTTGGTTCCTTGATGAATGTATTAACTTTCTTAATAGGGGGAGTGACTAATTTCCAACTGGGACCCTTTGTGAGAGTGAAAGTATGGTCTGGGGGACTCCAGGGTTGCAGTTAATTGTTATATCAGGACAATAGATGCTGTTGTTCACGCTTTGGGACATATTGTATTTCCTTCATGTGTGTAGGAATCAGTGCTGGGGGGAAGTTGATCAATATCATGTTGTTTCATAGAGTGCATTTTACCTTAGGGTTTTGGTTAGTGAGATTTGGGGATGGATTCCAATTTTGCTAAGTTTTAATTCTGTTTTAATGGTCCTTTCAACAATCTATCCTGCATTTACCTTAATTACAGATTATGAGGTATCTTTTAACATAAAACAGCTCAGTGCTGCATTTCTTTGAATTCAAATTTCAGAAAGTTTTTATTAAGAAATTTGCATCATGGTTTGAATGGGTTGGCTTTCTTCGTTTTCTGGAAACGCCGGTATGATGCAGTGATGAAGCGCCCGTGTGACACAGCTGGCAGACTGCGAGCAGTTGGTCTTCTGAAAACTTCTAGAGACGCTGCTGTGTTAGGAGTGGCCCAGCCAGGGGATGGCTTGTTGCCAGAGAGTGGGCGGTCTTTTAGGGCCGTCCGCCCGCCCAGTTTGACATGTTCCTTACTCCAGCTGTAACTGTGACCTCAGAAAAAGTTTACCTTTCCTCTTAGGAGGGAAAATCGTAGGAAAAAAGATTCAAGTTCGTTCTAGTCAAGAGCAGAAGTGTAGTGTATTTTAAAATACCGTCATTGTTTTGAGTCTGTTTTCCATGTTTCATATACGCAGAGAAGAAAGATTTTAAAGACCTGGCATTTCAGGTGTGCGGTTTTTTTGAATTGTGTTAATTCCTAACACCTTTGTCTTTAAGGGATCTGCAGCAAAGCATTGCCAGGGAACCCAGTGCTCCTTCAATCCCTACGCCTGCCTATCAGTCTTCTCCCGCAGGGGGCCATGCTCCCGCTGTGCCAACGCCCGCGCCGAGAACCATGCTGGTCAGTAAGCAACCTCGTTTTTTAAATGGGCCTTTTGCATTAGTGACTGCTTGCCTGCTTGCCGTAAAGGAGAAAACACCCTTGACATTGTAGAGATCTGGTGGGCACCAGTTTTCATGAGGTGACCAACCTTCTCATGTTCTGCGGTATAAACAATACAGCATCACTCGCAAATTCTTGCCAGAAAACATTTAACTTGAATCTCATCAAGTCTTTAGAACCACCTTTCGGTTTATCGCAAGTACAGTGATAAAACAAGAAGTTAAATTGTGCCATTAGGAAACAGTTGGACAAATCTAGAACTGGGACATTCTAGGAGACCCTTGGCTTTGTCTTTTCTAAAAGTGAATGTCATGGAGAGAAAAAACACATAGATGTGAGGCATTCTGTTTTCAATGAGAGGGAAAGATTCATAATAATCCTGCAATACGTGAACCTCGGTTGGATCTTGGTTCATAGAACCTCTTCTTTGAGAGCTTTCTTTTGTGATAGAGAATCTTGAATGTGGCATGGATACTCGATGGTATTAGGAAATAATTACTCACTTCCTTAGGACGAAATGGTATGTGATTATTAGGACTTATGTGCTGCAGTCTTTAGGGCTGGTGTCCTGAAGTTTGCAACTTCCTTTCAAATGGTTCCGCAAATATGTCGATACATAAATGTATGGGTACAGCTACAGATACAGTGAATATGGTCACATGTCAGTAATTATTGAATTTAACTGATAAATACGCGATCGTTTATTGTACTAGTCTTTTAAGTTGTCTGGTGTTTGAAAATATGCACATAAAGAATCTCGTGGCCAGGGGGAGATTCCAGTGATGACCTGTCTGTGCCCGACTTGCTCCTTCCTCCCGTCTCAAATGTCTAACCACGGATGGGAGCAGTAATGGGCAGTAAGTGGCTAAATATTAGGCCTCAGCAACAGGGCAGTGGCCGTGGAGTGTTAACAGGTTGGAGAATCATTCCTCCGCTGTGATACGTTTCTAGAGTATTCAGTCAACATTTAAGAATGGGAATTAGAAATACGCTCGGGTGGATTCTAGAGCTTCTCATATGCCCTCCGTTATTTTAACGACGGTAATTTGACGGAAACGTGAGCCATGTTGCAGTCAGTGCCGACTCTCTTACAGCCCGCCAAGCCCCAGCCCCCGGCCCGGCCTCCACCGCCTGTGCTTCCAGCAAATCGAGCTCCTCCCGCTCCGGCTCCGGCTCCGGCTCCGGCTCCGGCTCCGGCTCCGGCTCCGGCTCCGGCTCCCGCGGGGACGGGCACTGCTCCACCGGCACCGGCACCCACTCCTGGTTCAGCAGCGCCCCCGCCACAGGGACCCCCCTACCCCACCTATCCAGGATATCCCGGGTAAGGCTGAAACTGGATGAATGGGCTGAGGTTCCTAGCTCTGGCTAACCTTTGAGAAACAGTCCCCCCTTCTCCGAATGGAGGCGTCATGAACGAGCGAGCTCCATGGTCAGCTTACGCAGAAATGGAACTAATGTCAGACTCACTTATGTGAGTAATCGAACGGCCCTTTCCCAGGCTTGTTGACGTCTCTAGTTTTCACACGCTGGCTTCACAGGAAATCCGCCTCTTCTGTACGGAACGCAGACTGTGTTTCCTTGGTTGTCCTTATTTTGGCGATGAACGGAGAGGCGCCTTTCCGGAGCTGAGCGTGGCAAGACCGATAGGCCTTGTTCGCGCACCCGTACTTTGAGGAATTGCCATTCTGACACACTGCTTGACACGACTCTAATCTTGGCGTGTGCTTTCTTAAAGAACGACTTTCTGTGTGATAAGTTTTTAATCTTAAAAGTCCAGACCCTTGACTACCTCCTAAGATGTGCTCCAAGCTTTACTTGTTAGTAAGTACATTCTGTCTTCTAAATATTGAAACTTTGTAAACAGGGGCGCCCGGGTGGCTCAGTCGGTTAAGCGTCCGACTTCGGCCGAGGTCACGATCTCACGGTTTGTGAGTTTGAGCCCCGCGTCGGGCTTGCTGCTGTCAGACCCTCTGTCCCCCCCCCCTCTCTGCTCCTCCCCCACGCCTCACAAATTAATAAACATTAAAAAAAAAACTTCTGTAAACAGTAAAATATGTACATTACAGTGAATATTGAATCTTGTGAGTTAGGAATGTACTTAGACTGTCACGTTAAAATGAAGGGTCTCCATTTTTATTCTTTGCTAACAGTTGAATATTTCGGCTTATTTCTGTCAACAGTATTATTTTCTGGATGGTAGTAAGCACCTGATATTCTTTCATCTCAATTATTAACGGGACATTAACCTTGAAACTGCTGCTTTTTCTTTCCACTGTCTTCTACTAGAGTGAGAAATAGAGAAAAATGACTTTCCTGAAAAACCTTGGTTTCGAGTAATTATTACACGTCTCATTTTCTAGTGTGTGATTTACCAACCCATTTTTTTGTTTGTTTTCTTTCCATCAGGTATTGCCACATGCCCATGCCCATGGGCTATAATCCTTACGCATACGGTCAGTATAGTATGCCGTACCCGCCAGTGTATCACCAGAGCCCCGGACAGGCTCCATACCCAGGGCCCCCGCAGCCTTCATACCCCTTCCCTCAGCCCCCGCAGCAGTCTTACTACCCACAGCAGTAACATGCCAGCCCAGAAGCTCGACTGGTTCAGTTCAAAGGGAAGGAAACACCAGCCCTGCAATAAGCATACTAAACTCTGTGCTCTGGTTACTGTAACGTCCTCTGTCGTGCCGAACGCGGTGTGCAGTTTCTGTCCGCGGCTGCGAGCTGAGACTGTGCCCCAGTTCCACACTCGATCGCACACCGAGAGATGCTGCTGTTGCAGTGTAAACACCATAATAGGTGTAATAGAATTTGAAATAAGTTACTTTTCAGTTCATCAAAGTTGAAAAATGAGAAGTTAAACCCACAAGTGAAACGTGTGAAACTATTATACTTCTGTCTGCATAAGACATGGTTGGGACGTCAGATACTTACAATGATGGTTTAAGTACTGATATTCAAGAAAGCTACGTTTTCTTTCTCTTTTGGTTTGTCAGTTTGGTTTAATTTCCATTACACTATTTTGCATAATCAAAGTATTGTAAATCTTATAATTTAAAAATAAATTACTTGAGAACAGTTGTCATTGTTATGTTTTGTCATTGATTCTCATTACTGTCTAATTTCTTTCTGGTGTTAGTCTCTCATTTTATATGTACGTAAGTTAAACAGATAACTGTGTTTAAGTGCATGATTAGTTCAAGTTAATAGTCAGGTTTATAGGAAAACCAAAAAAACAGTACCGTAATTTATCTTTCATATGCTGATTAGTATGTTAATTTTGGCATTTATTTTGAAAAGTCCTATAATGTGGAAGAAACACAATTGCTACCAAAGATTCTTCAAATAAATATGTGTATTTAAAGTTTTATTAGCTTCTCCAAGAAATTGATACAAATTCTGGTAATAGTTCTTTCCCTTTTTTTCCCATAACCTGGTTAAAATGAATACATATCATTGACAGGACTGTCTAATGTAATGGGATTGTTTAAAGAAAGCTTACTGTACCCCTTCTGTTCCTTTTTTCCACCTTACTGTCTTAACTTAGTAACATTTAATGCACAATGTATACGAATAGATCTAAGCCCTTTGGTTTTTATGCTCCTAAAAGATTAGAGTATTTTATAATTCAGGGAGCATACTAAACAATTGCTGGGAACATATGCCAATTCTGAATAGGCATGAATATTTAATACTAGTCTCTGCTGTTAGGATAACTAATCACTGTATAAAACCTCAGTAAAAGTAGTGAGACATGCATCATGGAGTGAGTAAATGAGAAAGGAAGGGGTTGTTGAATAGCGGGGACTGTTCTGTGTGAGGTTCATTTCTGAACACATCAGGCGTGTGAGCAGATTTCCAGTGAGTCTGTTGATGTTTATTTTCTAAGTTTTAATGCTCACCTTTTCTGGCGTTATTGTTTTCATTGAAATGATGCTGTCATTTGGGCCACTGTTATATTTTCATCGACAGTTTGGGTTTATGTTTTAAATGTTGGACTGAAGGTATGATTGTAAAAGGGAGTGCATTGGTTTAAAAATATATGTACATTTAAAAAATATCACTTTGTTGTACGTAGAAAACATAAAGGCGTGTTACTTTAATATAAATGACCTTTCCGTGGAATATTGAAATTGGTTTAAAGTGCAGTAGTTAAAACCTTGGCAAAAGTAGTTTTTTTTACGTACCATAAGCTAAATTTTATTAATGTGGAACCATCAAAGTATGACCTAGGCTTGTTTGACTCTTATGTAAAAGGCATTCAAGTTCTGCATTCTTACTATTTTTCAAGGTGGCATATGCTGACGTGAGACACTCAGTGGGAATTAAGGGTTTTCCAAATTGCTAGTTTACTATTCTTACTCCTGCAGAAAGAAACAAAAATGAATTGGCCTGAATATTCTCTTGGGGAAAGAAGTCACTGAGAAGAGAGGAAGTGCATCAGGGCCAGAAGAGGTTACAAGGCCCCTTAGCCGGTTCCATGTGCTAAGTAGGCCGGCTCCCAGAGAGCCACGGGAAGATCTTTCAGAAACTTCTGGAAAGGAGGCTCCACAGCCCCAAGTGGCAGCCTCTTGCAGCCTGCCCGAGTTGCTCAAAGCCTTTTTTTATGCAGTAACCCGGCCCCATTCCCTCCCGTCAGATCACTCATTCTTCGGGTAATTGAGGACAGTTTCTTTTGGTCACCTGTGGGTGGGTACAGATGACCAAATTTCTGCAGCCTTTCATTGCTGGGTTAGTCTCCATAGCCCTTCTGATTTCAGTGGGGTGGCTCATGGAAAGAAGTTTCTCCTCCCATCTGTTTCACCTCCTAGCAAACAAGGAAGCCCTCGCTGGCATGAGCTTTGTTACCAAACGTTTTTGTCCTTTGCTCAATCAGTTTCTTACCTGTAGTCCACAAAAATACCCTAAAAAGTCGTTACGGACGGTGCTGTTCGATTGTAGTTGCAAGTGTGCCTCTGGTTCAGAGATCTTGTTACCTCTTTTTAATTAGGCTTTCTGATGATTTTCCTAAACCAAAGAAACCGTTCCCAGACCATTTACGTTCGGGTTTGGAATACTGTTTTTAAATGGACTGACCGCATGGCGGAGCTAGTCGGCAGTGGGGGGGCAAAGCCTCGCTTCTCCTATTTCTTGTTCCCAGTTGGAGACGGACGGCTTGACTTCTCAGTCTGCTGTGAAGTCCTGGTCTTTATTCTCCGTTGAGACAAAACACAGGTCACTGCAAATCAGTCCGTCTTTGTGAGATATTCCTGTCCCCGTACCCCCAACTTGTTTGCAACTTAACAGTCTCTCCCTCCCTAAATGTAAGCAGTTAAAAAAAGATTTCACAGAACCTTCACGCCGTTTTATCCCCAGTCAGCAGCCTTTCTGGTCAAAACATTTAAAAAATGTTTCTCCTTAGAGCTTTAGAGAGTTTGCAAAAGCGCTTCATACACATCTTCTGATTTCACAGACGTGATGAAATGCAATTTATTAAGTAGGTTTCAGTTTGCCAATGGGTTTTTTTTTTCTTTTAATGATCGATACATCTTGAAGAATCTTGCTACAGCCTAGTGGCATCTCTCTCTCTCTTAAACACTTCCGCAACTATTAGCTGATTCACAGCACAGAACAGGATACAAAGTAGGAAAAAAAAAATGCTGTAGTGTTACAATGACTAGTTTAAAAATAGACCTTAGAATTAAATGGTTGATTATAAGGTTTACATGGACGAGCTAAGAAGGAAAAATTATATTTTTAAAGAAAAAGAGAATATTCAGGCTTTATTTCTGGTATGAAGTTTATATTTTTAAAAAAAAATCCTATATTATCACACCAGAGATTTTAGATTCTTTTCTGGTTACAGACATTGCTGGTAGTTGGATTATATTTTTATTGTATTCATTTCTCTTAGGGGGAAAATTGTAAAGCAACAAAAAGGTTCCCGATGAATGTATCCTAGAAATAAAAGTTGAAAGATTCTTACTTCCTTGGAGTATGAATTCTTATTTGAAGTGTTTATCCTTTAGCTTTATAGTTTCTGCAGTTTATTTGACAAATGGTGGTCGGGGAAATAAGAAAATATCCACTTGGACTAAATGCATGAGACCGTGTTTAAATGTTTTCTTACAGCTGTCAGCCACGTACTTGACCATGGCTGGACCGTGTTTTTCATTACTTACGACTTTCCCCGGTTCTTTAAGATGAGAAATCTCTTCCAGTGTTACCTTTTGGGGGTTGATTTTTGGAAATGTTTGGCATGTTATCATATTCAGTTGGTTAAGGAAAGGAGACGGTGAGTTGTGTTCATCCTTTATTTTTAAATCTTTTGAAATGCATTCATCTTTTAAAATGTCTATTTTCTTCCTACTTCTCCCATGTTTTAAAGTCAGATGCACCTGTTTTACCATGTAGCTCACAGTGCACAGTTTTATCAGAAAATGCGCTGATCTTGTAGGTCTTCCAAATTTGTTGAAGTTGAACAAGCTAGCTCCAGGGACGCGTCGATAGTCTGGACCCTTGTTACGTGACTATTCAATATATCACGAATGGGCGTAGTTAAATCTTGTTTTTGTTGTCACTCACGTGGCATCTGGGTCGGAGAATACAGAGTTCACCGGAGGGGCTTGGACACCTAGATGTGTGTGGGGAGGGATCGACGGGGCTGTCCGGGCCCCTGCCTGGAGCGTGGTTCTGCCGCAGCCTGAAGGGACGTGACCAGCCCCCTGTGCTTGGGTGACTTTAGCATTCACTACTGCAGCCGGGGCTGGCTCGGGAGCTGCGGGGGAGCAGACTTGAACTTGTCCGGAGCCTGCGCGCTGGAGAGCCTCAGGCCACTGCCGACCAACGTCCTGTTGATGGACGGGCCTGGCCTTTGTAGGTGATCAGTCCGGGCACCTGCAACGTGTCCGCCCACGAGGGGCCCTGGCTTCTGTCAGTTCTGGGGCTCCTGATAGGCCTTCCTTCCTGTTACAAGTTGCTAAAGTCCCTTTCAGCTAACGAACCCCCAAGTGGGACAGGTGAATGAATAGGTTCAAGTCTATTATGGTTTATGTCTTTTTAAGTTTTCCTGCATTTGTAACTCTCTTAATCTGTACACATCTGGGAGCCGTGTGATTCATATTCATGTCAACTGTGTCTGTTGTGAACATGAAATGACTTCTGTTCCTTTTTCACCCTGGAATGTATTTTGTTACTAACGTTGCCACTGTTGTTTTCTTTTCAGATGCGTTGGCAAAATTTTTAACTTGTGTGTGCTTGTTTTAATTTTAGGTGTTTAGATTTAGTTATTTGACCCAGTCAGATGATGGTGATGATGATGATGATGATTCTTCTTCTTCTTCTTCTTCTTCTTCTTCTTCTTCTTCCTTCTTCCTTCTTCCTTCTTCCTTCTTCCTTCTTTTTTTGGTAATCTAATAGGAAACTTTAACTTGCAACTTTGTTACATTATATGATCTTTTGACATTTGTTTGGTGTAAGTATTTTGTCCTTTCTATTTCCTTTTCCTGCCTTGCATCGCTTGAATTCTGTTTTCTCTCTTATAGTTATTTGGAACACTGATATTTTTATTTTCTCACTCTCCCCACCCACCCCTCCCCCCCATCCTCAGCCAAATCTTACCTTTTTTAAAAAAAATTATCGGGGCGCCTGGGTGGCGCAGTCGGTTAAGCGTCCGACGTCAGCCAGGTCACGATCTCGCGCTCCGTGAGTTCGAGCCCCGCGTCAGGCTCTGGGCTGATGGCTCAGAGCCTGGAGCCTGTTTCCGATTCTGTGTCTCCCTCTCTCTCTGCCCCTCCCCCGTTCATGCTCTGTCTCTCTCTGTCCCAAAAATAAATAAACGTTTGGAAAAAAAAAAAAATTTAAAAAAAAAAAAAAAAATTATCTTTATTGGCAGGGTTTAGACTTACATT